TAAAAACAATTGGGTGGTTGTTTAAAACTGTTTAAAATGGCTCCACTTTTAGAAGAACTGAAAATGGAACTTAAAAAGTACAAAGAAGATGCATAAGAAGGGAGAGGTTCTTTTGGCTTCGTATTTCAGTTTTTAGAAATGGAGATTTGGAATCATACATTGCAATGTCCTACCTGTCAATGAATATTTCAGCTTCAACCATAACAACACAAGAGCACACAATAGATCCAAACTCAAGATTAACCGCACCAAACTTGATTGCAGGAAATATGACTTCAGCAACAGAGTGGTCAATGTCTGGAATACTCTACCTGACTCTGTAGTTTCTTCCCCAACCCCAAAAACTTTAACCTTAGACTGTCTACTATTGACTTCACCCCTTTCCTAAGAGGTCTGTACGGGGCATACATAAGCACACCAACGTGCCTACCGTCCCTGTCCAATTGTTTCTTTTATTTTTCTTATATGTACCCATTTCATGTATTCATAACTATGTATATACTTATACCTATTATCTTGTAAGCAATTGACAAATCAAATAAATAAATAATAAATAAATAAATTATGAGAAACAACAAGAAATGCCTGCAGAACAAGAAGATTGCAACAAAGAAGAAGCCATCTTTAATGAACAAGTAATCTTAGATGGGGGAAAAAAGGAAAGGGGGAGAGAGAATGGAAAGTTTAAGATTGGGAAAAACAACTCCAAAAAAAAAAATAGAGTGAAAAATAAGTATAAAATCAGAAAGCAACAGAAGAGGGAAATGCAGAAGAGAGAATTAGAAGTAGAGAGACAAGGGGGTAAAAGGGGGAGGGAGATGATGAGAGGGAAGAAAGAAAGGAAAAGAAATCATAAAGGACAGAAACAAAATATAGAGAAACAGGGCCTATTTAGAGATAATGGGTGAAAATTTAATGGAAAAAGGGATTCTTCAAAGGTACATAAGATAGTATGGTTATATTAGAAACAGAAATAATTTTAGAAAATATGAAACAATGTATGATTAAAATGTCTGATAAAATGGCTATCGTAATTCAGTGGAATGCTTGTCAATAAATAAATGTAATAAAAGGTATATTTAATGATTTATAAAACATATGTGAAGAGAAATAAGGGAAAAATTAATTATGGAGATTATATGTGTTTTTAAGGAAGTATGATATTTAATTGAAAAGGAGTGTTAAAGATGTTAAGATTTTAATGATTATTAATGATTGAACTGAACTGGGATGGAATGTGGGTTTATAATTACATATATTTACAATCTTTTTTTTAAAAAAGAATAGTGTGTATTATAAGAATGTACCAAGCAGAATTTGATTGGAAGTTATGTATTATGTATTATATTGAAGGTCATAACCTTAAGGTATATATTGAAGTTTAAATAAGAGTTGAATGAATGTAATTAAAAGATATAAAGGTGTCATACTCCAATTAGTAACTACAGGAGAAAATTTGTTCAATGAGAAAAGATAATATGAAATTGAAACAGAAGAGACAAAAGTCTAAATATAATGATTTGAATTGAGATGAGATAATCAAAATAAAATTGAGAAAATTAAAAGAGGGGAAAAACTATATAGAAAATGTAAAATAGTATAATATATGGAATAGAATACAAAAATGAGCATGAAATTGAGTCTTGTGTCTGTATAAAGAAGTTCAACCCGGGACCATGCTATTTTCAGAAAAGATGTTTTACTTGTATTTTGTATGTGTGAAAATCCAAACAAAAATTTATTTAAAAAATAGCAGTTTTCCACTCATCTCCCTCTTTGATGCAGACCTGGTAGTAAGCTTCCCTGAGATCTAGCTTGATGAATACTTTGCCCTTCGACAGGTGGTTCAATAAGTCCTTCATAAGAGGGAGAGGGTACATGTTTTTGATGCATACTACGTTCATGCCTCTAAAGTCAACACACAATGTCAATCTGCCATCTTCTCCTTGAACAATACGGGGGCAGCTTATCTTGATTTGGCAGGCTCAATAAAACCTCGTTCCAAATTACTGTCGATGTATTTCCTTAATTCAGCCATTTCAGCAGGCATCATGGAATACATTTTTGGTTTTTGTAATTTCGCCCGGGCTCTAATTCTATGGCACAATCAATGGTTTGATGGGGAGGTAAAACATTACACTCTTCTTCACTGAATACGTTAGCCAAATCTTTGTATTTTTATCTGGGGGAAGGTGGGATGCCATGGATGCTGGCTCAGGCTCTGGGTTCAAGCTGACTGGTGGCTTTGTAGTGGGTGGAAGAGGGGACAATGTGCCCAGTCCAATAAGGATTTTCTGAATTCATCATCCCATTTGATCGTTGGGGCGCATTTGTCTAACCAAGCAAGTCCCAGTATTATTGATTCTGACATCTTGGGGGCCACTATGAAGTGTATGAGCTCACAATGGGGCCCTAATTCCATCTTGATTAATGCAATTGAGTGGCTGGGTCCCCCCCCCCAATTAAGGTTCCATCCACTTGCTCAAATCTGATTGAGCATTTTAGCGGGCTAGTCTTTATGCACAATTGTTCAATGATGGGGAGTCTGATAAGATATCTGGAACACCCAGTATCAATGACAGCTTCTAACTCCCCAGCCTCCCCCGTGTTTGGTACCACTAACTTGACCTTGACTGTAAAAGGTATGATGAGATCACTCATCATTGGATTGTCTTCACAAGTTGGGTTTTGGGGGATGTGGTGTTGGTCTGGTGTTCCGTGCTCCCATCTGCGCAGAGGAGGCTTTCCCAGCTGTGTTTGGCAAACCCGTCCCTGCCCGGAGGTCTTCCTGTATTAAGCTTTCACTGTGGAGCTTGTGGCACAGGATCAGGGGCTAGACAGTCTGCTGCCCTATGACCAGCTTGGCCACATCGGTAACATTTCAGCACCCTGGTGGGTTGGGTATGAACAGGTTCGGCTGGTCCGGTTGGCAGTCTCCTCACCACAATTCTTTTAGTTGGGGCTGCCGGAAGGGGTTTCCTGTGTGGGTTGATGCTGCAATCTAAGCTGAGGGAGGCGCTATACCATGACTGTAAGATCTCTGGGATTCCCCTAATTTCACAGGCCTTCTTTACTTCTGGATCAATGGCTTTTTTTAAATAGTGTAAAGTCATTCTTTCAGACCAATCCATGAGGTGGCTTGCGACCCTTCTAAAGTCCCAAATGAATTCTGACAAGGGTCGCTTGCCTTGCCTCATTTCCATTAACTTCTCTTCATTCTCTGCTACCCTGTCTGGATTTTCAAATCTGAGTCTTAATAATTGAATAAATCCATTTACATTGTTTAATTCGGGGGCTTGTCTGTTGAATAGTTGGGCCACCCAGTCCGAAGCATCCCCTTCATTTATTCCATTTGTTATGGCCGTAACCAAATCGCGATCTGTGGCGTATTGATCTCCAAATTGTTCTATATGGGATCGGATTCAAGTGAGGAAGTAATTGAAATGTTTGTGGTGGCCATCGAACCCAGCCTCAAAAGATATTTTGTCTGGCCTGGGTTGTAGTTGCGGAGGTGGCACATGCCAGGCTCCTGCAGGTTATACTGGAATGGAAGGAACAGGCGGGTGGCATACATAGTCTGGGTAGGCCCCCTGAATCCTGGCTGGGTGGTGCCTCTCTGGAATAGGGGTCCCTGTGGCCTCGCTTCTTGTTGGGGCTGCAATTGTGGTTGCCAGGAGGAAGATGGGTGTGGCCTGGTTCCCTGGTTAGGTGGAGGGGCTGTTGCTGCTGTCTGCTGTCTGGGCAACTCTCCTTCAGACCAGGGCTGTGTTGGTGCTGGTTTCCATTGGCATTGAATCCACCCCTGGCCTGGATAAAATCCCCACCCTGGAGGGATACTCTCTGCAGGGGGCAAAATTCATTCTGGGAAATGAGGAGATTGCCTTTGAGGCTGCAACATACCTCTGTTAGTTGATGCTTCTTTCTGGCTTCCTCGTTCCTTATGATATTTCAGTAAGTGAATATGGGTGGTCTCAAGCCTCTACCCATCCAAACAGACTGTGAGACCAAATCTGTCATCTTTAAATTCTGGAACTGTTGATATAAATCTGCCCTTGATGGACATCCAGGAATAATCTGGGGGTTGTCTTCTTGAGAGAAATCTGACCCCAAATTGTCTCTCTTCCCTCTAATCTGACAGAATAGCCATATGCCTGGGGCTAGAGAAAGGGTCACCTCTGGGTTATAACAACTTCTTGAATTGAAACGCTTTGGTATAGCTCCCAAATCTCTTTCTCCTACTGCCATCCTGAAAGCATCCATCATCTCCTCCAAACAAGGGCTGGCAGGTTCAATTAATGCTCCCCACACACTCCCTCCTGCACACCTCCAATTTTGGCTGATTGCTGCTCTTTGTCCATTTCTGGGAAAAGAACTCAGGGGCATCAGCCAAGCCCATTCAAAAAATAAACGTTAGACTTGGAAATTCTTAATATGACACACAGAATAACCTTGAACTTTTCAACTCCTCTAACTCTCTAAAAAAATATGTGGCAGCTGAATTTCAAAACTGACATATTAGAATAAGGATGAAATTTATTGAATAGTGGATGGAATAACAGTATGTGATAAAATTGCAGATGTGACAGATAAAAACAATATGTGTAATGAATATAGAAATGAGATAAGAATCTTAGATAATATTGTAAAATATATGAGAATATTTTAAGAAAAATGAAATAAGATATGAACTGGAATTGGACAAAATAAGTGCAATGAATTTAATATTTGAGAATATTCAACGGAAAATAGAATAAGTAATAATGTGATATGAAATTGAATAGGAAAGGTGAATATTTAACTATGGTCATGTTTGTATTGAAACGTAAAAACCTGGAGCCACATTGTTCACCAAAAGAAAAAAATATAAAAACAAAAAAAAATATTTTAAAAAATGTAGTATATAATTTCTGGATTATTTATATGAGCTCTTTTGTTTTATCTTTGGCTATGCTGTTTGATCCATTCAATTTCTTTTGATGTTTCTCTTCTTGTCTTCACAGGCATTACAGAGGCCCAGCCACCTCCAGGTGAATACAATTTTCCATGGATTTCAGCTGGAGGAATTCAGGACCCAGACACTAACCTGCCTATCTTGCTCTCCCCACAGCTTGTGGCCGATTTATCCCCCCTTCCCGAATAGTAGGAGGTACAGAAGCTGAGGTGGGTTCATGGCCATGGCAAGCCAGCATACAGATTTTAGAATCACATCACTGTGGGGGAACCCTCATTGCCTCAAGCTGGGTTCTCACAGCAGCCCATTGCTTTGTCAGGTGAGATCAAAACATCACAATGTTGATTCTCAGATATCTGAAACTAATTTATAAAACTTCATTCCCTTTGTCAAGAGATCTGGCATCCTGCTGATAAGTTTCTACCATTCTTTCATGGAGAAACCATACATTCAAGCTATTAGTTATTGTTGGCCACTCATGGCTCATGTTCTCCCATTTCTAAGGAAGTGAGTTTTCAGTCACACCTTGTCCAGTAGATTCTATCATGTTTTTTGAGTTTTTTGGGGGATAAAGCCCAATATCCTCGCAAGATTTATTTTCCTGTTTCCCAACCACAGTTAAAATACCTCTTCAACTTTCTCTTAATTACCTAATTTCAACCTCTTCCTAGCAGAATTTTAAACAATATATCTGTTTTCATTCCCATATTCTTGTTATGTTTTCTTAGCAAATTTCTCTGTCTACAGTCTCTCAGATCCCTCTCTATTTGCCATTCTTTTGGGATCCTACAATCTCTCCAATCCTGGACCAGAGTCGGTACGAGTAAATGTGAAGCAAATTATCATGCACTTCAACTACACTTTGCTCATAAACGGCAATGATATTGCACTAATGGAACTTGAAAGCCCTGTGAATTTCACCCAGCATATCCAGCCTGCCTGTTTACCAGGATCTTCCATTGTCTTCCCTCCCAGACTGGGTTGTTGGGTTGCAGGCTGGGGGAACATTAAACCAAATGGTGAGACTATCAGACATATTTCTAAATTTTGTGTAATATATATCTATCTATATAACTTCCACATATCTATCTATTTTATCCCTCTCCTCCTCTCTCCCTCTACCCCTCTCTCCCTCTACCTACCTACCTACTTATCTATCATCTATCTATCATCTATCTATCATCTATCTATCTATCTATCTATCTATCTATCTATCTATCTATCTATCTATCTATCTATCTATCTATTGCAATCTAATTTATCTATTTAGCTATCATATATATCTACATGAAGTTCCATCTCTTTTGGTGTTTGTAGCTACTCATAGGTAAGTATGTTCCAAATTATTAGTAAAAATACTAATGACTTGACTTACAATCAACCCTGGGATCAGAAGTTTGGTTGTAACTTATTATGGTTGTAAGTCAAAGCACCACGTAACCAGCCTTGATTCTACAACCATTTTTATGATGGTTGTGAAGTGAGTCACTATAGACATTAAACAAATTATATTGCCATTGGTATGAACATATTTTATTAAAAAAAATTGTAGACCTTTTAAAAAAACCAATTACTTGTATCTTAAATACAGCCCAGAAACAAGGGACGAACAAAATCCTTAATGCACACACACACTCTCTCTCTCTCTCTCACACACACACAATTAGAACCTTATCCTGTCCCCAATTTCTACTAATTAGTTCTGTTGGAATAGAGCAACACTTTGAAATGGATTTGTGAAGGCTAACATAAAAGAATACTTTTAGTATTTAGTATTCTTTAGTATTCTTAAGTATACAATGAGTAAAAATAGAATTAAGTTATTAAAGGTTTTAATAACTGCCTGGACAAATGCAAGCGAAAAGAGACTTATGTACCTTTAATCATTGTTTAGAATTTGTTTTAGAATTTAATTAATTGTTTAAAGAAGAGCAGGTATAACATTTGATGAATAATTGTTTAAATTTGTTTAAATTTCAGCAGCAATAAATACATTGACAAGCTGTTTAGTTTGCTGAAATTCTTTCTTTTACATAGACGTTCTGCTTTCTCCTTTGATGGAATCTGAAGAAATAGATATCTTTTCTCTTTTTGTCAGTCCCACTTCCTGAACCTGAGCTTTTGCAGGAAGTGCTTCTTCCCCTTATTGACAGGGCTACCTGTGAGGCTCTTTATAGCGACTTTAAAGAGCCTGGGATGATGACCGTAATAAAAGATGATATGATATGTGCAGGCTACATGGAAGGAGAGAAGGATGCTTGCCAGGTAATTATCATTTGTGTGCATGTGCCTTTTAGTCATTGTTGACTTCTGTTGATTGCCTGGCAAAGTCCCTTTTCTTGGCAAGATTTTGTGGGAGTGGCTTGCCCTTGCCTTCTTCCTAGGGATGAGAGAGAATGACTTGACCAAGACTACCCAACTGGTTTTGTGCCTAGGGTTGGGCTAGAATTCACAGTCTCTCAGTTTGTAGACTATTAACCTTATCATTACAGAATCTAACATTCTTTTTTATTCATTCTAAGCATATTGCAGTTTTTCTCCCAACTATACGTATAGGTAAAGAGAAAGGTAAATGAGTCCCTGTAGATTTTACTCTGCTTGTCATTGCCAACTATTGGGGGACAGTGCTTATCTCTATTTCAAGACCATTGAGCCAGCACCGTCCAAAGACATTTCTTGGCCATGTAGCCATCATGATGTTATAGAGCACTGTTATCTTCCCATCAAAGTGCTACCTGTTTTTCTACTTGCATTTGAATGCTAGGTTGACAGGAGCTAGAGTGAGGCCAGGAACTCATGCCACTACTTGAGCTGCAGGTCTTGAGCTGCTAGCTTTTCAGCCAACAAGCCCATCATCTTAACCCTGAACTATATATATATAATTAAATATAGTTTCTTTTACATAGACGTTCTGCTTTCTCCTTTGATGGAATCTGAAGAAATAGATATCTTTTCTCTTTTTGTCAGTCCCACTTCCTGAACCTGAGCTTTTGCATATATATCAGGCAACAATAGTTTAATGTAGTTTAGGCTGCAAGGTGATGATTGGTCTGAAGATGGGGACAGAAAAATTGCTACCATAGGAATGGGGAATCTCTGCCCTTCTAGTACATATGGAGTCTCCTCAGTCAAGGAGCTTCATTAGATGTGTTTTTCCTTCCTGCCTAATTTATTGATAGGAATTTGGTCTAATCATGACTTCCAAAGTTAAGGAATGTTCATTACTAAATTACTAAATATAGGAGGAATTGCTACATTACTAAATTATTCATAAGTTCTAGATTTTTCCTGAATTTAGATATCGAATTTTCAAGGGGCTGGTTAAAGATATTAAATAAAATATTTGAACAGCATTAAACATTCTTCAATGTAGTAATAATATGTGTTGAACAACAAAATAAGCATTCTGTGTGCTCATGTAATTTGATATACCTTTTAATGTGAGCTATTTCCATTTATTGCAAAGACATCTGTTAATGAAGTTGTTATTCATTATTATTGTAAAGAGGTATTTTGTTTATATGCATCTATTTTCCTGAACAAGATTTACTCCCTTTTTGATATTTGTCTATGGAGATTCTCAGGCAATCAGGTCATGTTTGTCCCAAAGGTGCTTTTTCAAGAGGCAACTGAAATTTGGGTTTTTAATATTTGCTTTCATTACAAATATACTGATTGAACAAGGTCAGTTTACCATTGGGTGGAGAGAGGCAATTTCCCCATGCTGTGAGCCATGAGTGGAAATCAGTGAGATATTCCTTCTGAACCCTCTTATCATTTTCTTTTCTTGGAATACAGAGCATTTTGTCCCACCCAAACTGTCTTGCTCAAAGCCTTTTGGTAGTATGATATTATCATGTACTTATGGTTGAAGTAAGATTCACCTATCAGTCATATGTAAGAGCCTTTTCTGACAGTAGAAGATTCATGTTATATTATTGGAAAATAATGTTTTATTCCTTTATTTTACAGGGAGACTCGGGTGGACCATTGCTTTGTCCATGGAATGGAGATTGGGTTTTGGCTGGGGTAGTGAGCTGGGGAGATGTCTGTGCTGCCCCCAAACGCCCCGGTGTTTACATTCAGGTTAGCGCCCACACCAGTTGGATCTTGAGACATGCTCCAGAAGTAAAATCTAGTTTTATTAATGCCCTAAACCTAACTACCCCTAGCAATAAATGTTCCTTAGTTGCTTTTGCTAACATAGCTATGCTTCTTTCATTAATTATCAGTATTATATCTATTATTATATAGTAACAAAACTTGGTACAGTATCTCTCAACTTGTCTAGATTGCTTGTTGTACTTTGTTGAAACTGATCTTTGTCAAATCTGTATGACTCCTTGAAGTGGAAAAGAATGAAACTTTGATTTTGGGTTTTACCAATTAGATTGGTAGATTCTTATAGAAATGGCTAGTTTATATTATTATGAAAAAACAAAAAGTTGTGGTTTGATGTTAATGTCTTATTTTACTGCAACAGAGAGAGTTGGAAGTCAACACTTCTTTTTCCTAACCCTTCTTCACTTTTCTCCCCCCTTCTTCCTCACTGCTTTCCTATTTACTGTCATATTTTGTATCTTATTGTGATCACCTGGAGCAAAGCACAGAGGCAACACAATCAGCTGATTGTTCAAATTCCCCTTTATTGCTCCAACTTTCCCCCAAATGCTCCCATATTTACAGCAAATCCCAGAGCAAAATGCTCTCACACACACTTCCAGCTGCCTCTGGCTGCAGGTAGTCCAGCAAAACGCTGTTAGCACAATGGCTTCAAGGGAAGAAGTTCAAGGAGGTAAGAGAACAAGGCAATAAGTTTACAAAGCAAAAGAGAAAAGTAATGAGTCCATGAAGCAAAGGAATAAAACAATGAGTCCATGAAGCAAAGGAATAAGGCAGCAAGAAGGCAAGAAATCCAATGAACTCCAGACATTGGCAACAGCACACAAAACTCCATGAATTCAGTGCTTGTTCCTGACAGGCATCCCTCCCCAGAGTGTCTCCTTAAGTCTCAGTCTTCAAGTATGTCTTGTGAAGAGGGACAGGGCACTTTCCTCCTGAGTGATCAGGTTGGCCTGCATTATTCCCGCCTCCTCGCCACTCCCCATGCTCAAGGATCAGGAGGTGGCAATCCTTGCTCATAGCCTAAGCTCTGTCACTCCTCATCTCTACTGCCTGCCCTCTCTTCCTCCCTTTCTCAGTCATCCTGCCCCCATTCTTCTCTGCTGGCAAGCTGTCCAAAGCTCAAGCAACCTGGGACTGCCTGCTCGACCTCTGTCAGCCCAAGCTCCAGCTCATCCTCTTCTATGGACTTAGGGTCCCATGGGGCCATGACAACTATTTTATCTTATAACTCAAAAAAAATGTTAAATACAAATCTGTATGACAAAGCTCCCATTATATGGTATTCTCTTTTGGAATTATCCTTATCATTTGATCTAATTCTTGTTTCTTCCTGCTCCCTTTCCTCTTCTTCTTATTCATTTACATAACCTTAAAGAATCATAAGATGATAAGAAGTTCCAGGATCCCTTTTTAATATTTCTCCGTACTTATCATTTTTTCAGAGTTATAACAATGTAAATTTTTATCAATTTTTCAGGAATGGCAGGCATACTGGAGTCTCACAGAGGCCTTACTAAAATAACCTGAAATTTCACAGAAAGCTAAATCTATACTAACATTCTCCAACCTTTCTCAGTTGGTGGCCCGGCATGGGAGGGAGGGGGAGGAAGGGAATGGTTTTGTGTGGGGGCAGGTGCATGTGCACAATTTCATTGCATGTGCATAATTTCATTTGTGTGAGGGTGGGTGTGCATACATGCTGCCTGCATGAATGGAACTACAAGCGTGGTAATGGGCTGCAGCCTACAGATTGGGGATCTCAATCTATGCTGTTTGACTAGATGTACTATGTTATACTTTGCATTTGAAAATACACACAAAAAGACATTTTTATGAAATTCAGTGTGCAATGATTTACTTATATAGTAATTAAAAGCATATGAAACAGAGTTGTCTCCCTATTTTCTCAATAGTCCTTATAATACTGGGTTGTCATAGGAATTGAAGACAGTAAAGGCATTGAGTTTGGGTGAAGCAAATGTTGAAATATTATTCAATCCAAATTACTATATATTAGGGTCTCTTCTATGTAAGTACTAGATATATTTCGATGGATATTTATCATCATCGTAAATGGGGCCACAGTGGCTCATGTGGTAAGACACTGAGGTCACTGAGGTTGGCTCAATTCTCATGAATGAATAAACCATGTAGGGACAAAAAAAGGAGCCTCCCCAAATGCCTACCAGCATTCAGGGATCCCGTGCGTAAAGATAACACTGCCCCCCAAAATTCCTTTCATAGAGGCAGTCAGCCATCTTGGTGATCCCTGGCCAACATGTGCTATACACTAAATAAATATATAAATCATCATAAATATTGTAGTCATAACATTGTAGGAAAGTGACCTTTTTCCTGGAAGTTAATTTCAATTTAATTACCCCAATCAAGAAATCCTAACAGGTATAACCATTATAAACATAACTGAAAAAAGTTAACTTTCTTCTTTTCAGATTTATTTTGAATGTGCTTGATTTTAATGCTTGTTAAAAGAAAGGTACTTCTCTCTCAGGATGCATCCAAACCTTTATTTTTCTTCTAATCCATAATATTTCAGTAATTAAAAGTATAATTATATAGCCATTGGGTGCACAGCTGACACTGAGAAGACCCATGTTCTCATTGTGGAAGTTCACTAGGTAACTTTGAGCCAGTCATCCTCTCCCATCCCAACATAATGGCAGGGTGGCAGAGTTATTGTTGTCAGGAATAAAGAGGAAGAGAGAGCTCTCTATATATTGCCTTGATGGTGGGATTTTTAAAAAGTTAGTCAATTTACCAAATAAATCTACCAGCTCTTCAGTCAAGTTAGATATTTGCAGTCATACCTGCATTAAAAGCCCAGAGATGTGCATTCACCAAATCATATCAAGAAATATTTTGAATAATGCATTAAAGGATATATAATGTTGCATTCCATTTATAGCATACTCTTGAATTGTATATGTAGTGAATTTCCAACTTAATGAGTTTAATCACAGATAAATTTGCATTGAGGTCCTAATTTAAAAGTTTCACTTGACTGAAGTTACTATTTCTGGTGTCAGAGTTCAGGTATATGAGGAAGAGGCCCTGATGCCCAAGGTTTGTATTTCCTTAGGAATTTTGGGCTTTTAATTCATACAGAACTTGGAAGAATCCACAGACTTGAAGTGTATTTTAAGTTCTATGTCTGCTGCTCTTCAGAGCTACTGGTTTTACAGAGGTGGACAGAACCGGTAGAAACCCAACCCTGCTTTTGTAGCATTGTGACTAAAAATTATTAGCATATTCTGGCCTTGGTATTGCAGTAATGAAAATAAATGAAAACTCTCAAATCTTATCAAATATATCTTTGGGCTTCCACATCTATGACAGCTATTTCAATGCACAGTGGACATAGTATACAATGATGCTACTCGTATACACCATGGAGAGTTTTATCCCAAATTACATATGTAGCATCCAAAATAAAATGGCTACAGTGATTGGGGGATTGAACTTTCAAACCTCCTTTAATATTGCAACTATTTTGGATATCTACAAGATCCCACAGGTAGGATATCTATTTTCATTTTCGCATAAGTAGGATGTTTTCATTTTTTATTTAAAAAGAAAGAAGGCAGGAATATACCCATTACCATGCTAAGAAATAAAGTTCTATGTTCATTTGAAAATGCTGTCCATTAGAATAGTTCCTTTCTCCAAATTGGTTAGATATCAGTTGGTACTATAAACTTTTAAAAATGTGGACTGTTGAGGTAATTCCCCGTTAGGAGAATGAGCGCACACAGGGAGACATATTGAGAGAAGTGTTGAATAATACACACACGGCACACAGATACACTGTACAGTAAATGTAGGTTTTTTTTTAACTTTCAATAAAGGTTTAAGCAAAGTTCAGAATAAGCAGTCCAAAGTCATTCACAGGTAAGATCAGTCAATTTTCAGTCCAGGGATAATTCAATAACAAAGTCCAGTGTCATAAACAGTTCAGTATCAGATTTACATCAAATCCAAAATAGCAGTCAATTAGGAGGAACAGCAATACGCTCCAACAGAGGAAACAGAGATTCACTGAGTCTTCTTCTGAGACTAAGACTAAGACTAAACAACCCAGGTTTCTGACTCCATCTTATGGCCATTTGAGAAACCACACCCAATTACAGTTTAGCATTCTCTTAAAAATACAGTATTAAAATGTCTATCCTGGTTTATATATTTCCAACCTAAATAACTGTTAGGTGACTTATATTCCTAACATTCTCCCCTTTTGGATAGGACAATATATACAACCTTACATTCTAAGTCCATAATCTTCACAGCTAGCCTTATGCTTTATAGAGCCTTGGGCCTTTGTAAAATGATCTGCTGTGTTGTTTTCTGACATACAGTATTCTAGCTTAATCATTTTACTTTGCACACGTTGTCTCACATTTAAATATCTTAAATCTCTGTGTTTTGATCGAGTCTTAACAGCAATATTTGAACCCATCTGTATTGCTGATTGATTGTCTTCGTAAATAACAATAGAATCTGTTACATTAATTCCCATATCAATTAATAATTGCTTATACAAAACTAAATCTGTACATAGTAAAGATAAACATGAGAATTCAGCCTCCATTGTTGACAAACTTAGATATTTTTGTATAATACATCTCCATCCAATCAATGCCTTTCCGATGTAGATTTTCGTGTATTTATGTCTGTAGCAAAACTTGCATCAGCATATGCAGTTAAACTCAGTTCGTCTTTTTGCTCCAAATACAATGAATAATGCATTGTTTGTTTCAGATATCTTAACACATGTTTAGCAGCTTGCCAGTGCCTTTCAGTCGCTCAACATTAAATCTCGCTAATTGATTAACACTGTATGCGATATCTGACCTTGACCAATTACTGAGATAAGATAAACTACCAATCAAGGACTGATAAATGTTCTTATCAAAAATAGGACTTTGAACATCACTATGGCTAAAGTCCTGGCTCATAGGTGTTTTAGCCAGTTTACAAAGTTCCATTTTAAAACTTTTAGTAATTGGTTAATTTTTTCTGCCTGTGAGATCTAGTATCCTCCCCTAGTTCTATCTATCTTTAAACCAAGATATTGTTTGATTTCTCCTAACTGTTTTATCTTAAATTTCTTC